TCACATGCGGTGCATCACTGCAAGATGCATTTCCAACATGGGGCGATCTGAAGCTCAGACGACCCGGCAGTATGCACCGCTAAACCAGGCACACCGTAATCGGTTGCGATATTTGGCGTGATGCCAAGGCAAGCGTGAGCTTGCGGCATATTTGCAAGCGTTGAGAACTCTCATTGCTGTCATGGCCATCGACCCTATGCCTGAGGCAGTGACCGTCACGGTCTTTATGGAAAGCTCCAAGTTGACGTTGCCAAAACGGAAGTTTTCTTTGCAAAGCCGTCCTCATTCGAGGAAGCTGATGAAGTGCAGGCCTTACTGGGATTGTGGTCTTTATTGACCGGCTGAGCAATATGGATCACTTAGCGGCAGTGCCGGACTCCATTGATGGAGAAGGAACAGCTACGCTGTTCTCAGATTGTGTGTTTAGACAACACAGATTGCCTGTGACAATCGTCCTAGATAGAGACCCCGTTTTACGGGTAAGTTTTCGACGTCAGCATTTAAAGCGCTGTGCACTCGACTGGTCATGTTCACGGCGGATTATCCGCAGACCGATAGTCAAACACAACGCTTAGTCGCGTTATTGGCGATATGCTTCGAAGTATTTGTGCTGAAACACCCAAGCAATGATGCTCGATGCTCCCACTCATTGAGTTTGCGTTGAACAACGCAGTGCATGCCTCGACAGGCTTCACACCCATTCTATGTGAATGGTTCAATTAACCATAGCGTTCCTTTAACGCTACCCCTGCCACATCAGGGCTTAGTGGCGGAGAGATAGCCGAAGCTTGGCTGATATCAGCCGTGTTGCGATTCGCAAGAAGGTGGAAGCGTTTCTTTCAACGCGTTTTGACGTATTACGTCGCGTCAAAGAAGCTACGGCTGAAAGCTAGCATATTAAAAGGGAACAAGCGGATGCCAAAGGCAGGAAGAACGAACATGATTTCAAAGTGGGAGATTTTGTTTTATTGAATGCTAGGAATTTACCTACTTGTGCCGTTTCGGCAGTATATAAAACCAAACGATGTCCGCTTTATTGGACCTTTTAAGGTCATAAGTATGAAAAGCTTAGCCTATACGCTGAACCTTCCCGAGAAGATGCGAACACACCCTATGTTCTATGTGGACTTACTAAAGCCATATCTCAACCCTGCCTCGGTGGACTTCGACGGTTGTCCATATCCCCGGCCGAAGGAGGCGGGTAGTACGGCATCGTTGCTGCATAGGGACGCTGGAGGAGTACCAGGAAGTTAAGTTGACAACTAAGCTCGGCTTGAGAACGCTCAATCGCCGCTAAGCGATCAGAGGTCTCACAGCAATAAGGCTCAAAGGATCGACGGTGTCGATCGACACGCTCATCGATAGGTGACAGGTGAGACTTCACCGATGCAAGATCATCACGCTTCAGGATAGTCAAGCGACGCTCGATCTCATAGAATCATGGGTCCATGGGTCACCGACCCCGCCGACGATGATTATTGAACTGGGTCATCAACACCTCCACGTGGAACATCTCTTGGCTCGGCGTCTTCACCAGTGTCATACCCAATGCTTGTTGAAGTGGAGGGGTTATCCCATTTGTACGACTTGTGGGAGTATGAGGTACCCCTCAGGCAGGACCGCCCTGACGCCGTTGACGCTTTTGACCATGACGGTCAGAAACGACGACAGCTGTCGTCGGACGCTTCCTAGCACTAGGTGCTGAGGAAGCAGGGTCAGTAGGCAGATTTTGCCTCTGACCTTCAGAATAAGCCAACGCCGGTACACCACTTCCGTGAGAGGTACGGCAAAAGATTGACCCCCACAAGCCTTTGGCTTGTATGTGGAGGATAATGTGCGCTTAGCTTTGAGCTTTGCAAAATTAAAACGTAGGCGACGTTCTAAGCAAAAGATCTACCTCTTAGCGCTTAATCACAAGTTGGAAAGACTGGAGACCTTACATGCTCGTTCAACCAAACGGGTGAACTGTTGATCGATCATCTTGCGCAAATGTTTCACCTGGTGCTAGCACCACTAGCATGTCGTTTCGTAGGTGCACCGGCACTTCACGTCCCTGTAGTGACAGTCGCTTCTAATACGATTATATCGTATACGTTTGTGGAGTAAGGAGCCACTTATGAAGCGCGGCACGACCCATCACCTCGCAAGCAGTTCGGGCCTAATACCCAATGACATACGTACGCAATGATTGCGACGCAGCTCGTCGAGCTTTCTCATTGAGGTCCCGGGGCACGAACCCACAATCACGTCGTGAAAAAAGTTGTTTGGGCCGTACCAAGGCGGCTGCTCGTGCCTTGTCATCGGTTTGAAGACGCTGCGCAGCGTCAAGAGGGTTAGCTACCTCTTCGTTGGCACCCTCACGAGAGGAAAGCAGTGGAAGGACAGAGAGCAGACTTTGAAGCTTTGGTACGAGCCCTCAATCTAGTTTGGTAATTTGCCGCTCGTAGTTGCAGTAGTGTAAAAAGCATAATCAAAGCTATCGTTGTTTGCATTCTATTCGAGTTGTTAAATACGCAGCAGTGCGACGTAGCGACTACCCGTCAAATTCGATTCAATTGGTAGTGGAACGAAAAGCAGATGAAAGTACCTATCAGTATAAAGATACAGTGCCAGGAAGCGACTAAAGCATTCAGAAGAGGAATGCTCTTCGTCTTGGCAAGCTGTCTATGAATGCAGAAATCATTTTTTCTGACCAAGTAGTCAACAGGGGCACGGCTCTTCATCGTCATGAACGTCTACAAGTTTTCTAACCACTGGTCCACCTTCCATGTAGTTACTCAGCATCAAAACCGACAGAAAGAAGAACCGACTGTCTATTTCAACATTCTGGTTAGTAAGTGCCTGGAATGCGTCAAGTCAAGTGAATGACGCAGCGGTCAAGGTTATTCGCCAGTTGTCTTAAGTGCGCCCGCTGGTGCTGCTTGGCATCTTCAAGCTCCTGAAATGTCGTAGACGCTGTCAGAGAGGACCGTTACACAGAAGTAAGCGGTCGCTTGCGCGACGACGTGTGGCGTGTGGCGAGGTTGCGTTACCCATCGCTTACGTTGACCTTTGAACGGACTTTTGTGACCGTCGAAGATCCACGTAAGCGATGGCCAACGGAACCGCCATGACGCGTGGCGCGCAGAAGCCGCCAACTAAGAAGTAGATGACTTTAACAAATATTTTAGACGATGAAATGTCCATGTTAGCTCATGATGATGTGCTGGTGTTTATGATTTTCGATGCACATACCATCAGCCGTGAAGATGAAGCGCTGAAAATGAAACGGAGCTCTGACCCATATGAACATGCAAGACGCAAGAGACTTTAACAGATATGTTAAGGGTACTCATAAAGCTTTCAAATTATCAAAACCAAGTCTTCAGTAAGTTTATTGATGTTTCGACAAATCAAGCACATATTTAATGAAAATGGTGTGCCGACACATGCGCCTGAGAGAAATGCAGATGCGATGTCAGCAATTTGTGATGACACCTTGCTGCTCGACTTGACCACGAAGGAATGACTAGAAATCAATGCAATGTTTCTGGCATGACTGCATTTTCCTCACCTGCACTGCGTAAAAGACCAAACAGCGATTCGAATACGGGTACATAACTCTACCCGTTCGAGACTACCTCTAAATGTGCTGTCCATACTGAGCAGCGGGCTGGGCAAGGTTACCCTGCTTAAAACGCTACCGTCTGATATTGCAGCAATACGATCCACACTTTTAATGGTGACTAGTCGTCTGTGCCACCAGAATAACTCTACCCCTTGCTTCATACGATCTACTGCGTGTTACACCAGTATCTCGCTTTCTGATGTTTCTGATACAGATCAGAGGTAGGACAAAGACCATGGAATGCTTCTACTAGCGCAAGAAAAATTGCCACACTAACGAACGAGTGATTGGCTACACTCACTAACCTCGTATCAATTCAATTGAAAGGACACGTTACAGATATGCGCGTATTGAAAATTACGCAAAGGGATGTATGATACATACATACCTACCATACCAATGTGGTGTGGCTGTACCGTGGGTACAGTGGTAGGTTGATGTGACCATACCTAATGTACAAAGGGTCGCCCCGTGGCATAGAGCCACGTAATCACTATACCTAGTTAAGTATAGTGACTATACATGTTTGTATATTTGGTGGCTACAGAGCCAGATAAATAGTGACTAGCACCAAGTACAGAGTAGGTGTAGCCGACCTACTGAAGCTACTTATGATCGAAGCGCATCGGAAGACAATATTCAAGAGCTTATACGTCTTAGGGTTCTTAACCCTCCCATGGCTAGCTCGCAAGCTATGCCTTTTGGAAGTAAACAACCACGTCTCCAAGAGACAAGTATTAAAGACAAGTCTTTACAAAGGAATAGAACGCTCTAGCACTTGCGCTATTCAGACAAGGTTTGAATCTAATTTATTTATGTTTATCTTGTAGCACAAAACATTGAAGCACCTACTCTATACTTGGTGCTAGTCACTATTTATCTGGCTCTGTAGCCATCTAATATACAAACATGTCGTCTAGTCACTATACTTAACTAGGTATAGTGATTACGTGGCTCTATGCCACGGGGCGACCCTTTGTACATTAGGTACGGTCACATCAACCTACCACTGTACCCAAGCTACAGCCACTCCACATTGGTTCCCGTAACCCCGCTACTCATAAGGACATAATATATAGCGAAGGATCAATCTCACTATGATTGATCTCAGCAAAGCAAAACAAACAAATGTGCTTTTTTTCGACTTTTTTTTCTCTTTTTTTAATTCAAATGAGAACTGACATCAATTTTTAATCGTCAATTTATTATGAACAGTATTACATTATGATATTTACGAATTTTTGTATCCTTGATGTGATGCATTTGGTGTTTATGAACCCTTCACATGTAGCCATCTCATAATGATTATCTAACATGTATTATCAAATGAACGAGTTCAACTCCATCAAATCAAATTAATGCGTAGCTAACGATGCCGACGTAACGTATTCACTCACACTGCACTTTGAATATTTTCCAATGTCGTTACTTCATGTTTTCTCTTCGAGTCCATGCGGTTGTAGTCTTTGGCCAGCACGTGAAAAGCTTTAACCCATTGCGAAGGGCTTAGCAATTCAGTGCGCCCACCATCCTTACTGCTGGTCGGCGAGAACGAAAAAAGCAGATTAAGATACTTTTGCAGGTACTGTTTCAGCCGCTGTATCCCCATGTCGCCATTTGCCAATGATTGTAGCAACGAATCATCTTTAATATCGTTAGTATCGATAGCCAAGTCCATTGCGTCTAGAAGATTTTCGAGCTGTGCCACTGGTCGGCCATCAGCTGTAACTGTACGTCTCGAAACGACAACAACACAATGAGCTGGGTCCAAGTTAAATAGTCGTCTTTCTTTGCTCAGATTAGCGGCACTCAGTGTGTCACGCATGCGAATTAAGCCGACGGTATTACTGCGCAACGACCTAAACAGAATTGACAAACGTGTCTCTAATGCCTTGCAGTAGGATACCGTCATTGAGCGCAAATGTCCAGATCCTTGTGTCTTGGTCGAGCCATACAAAATGTTATCAGGTGGTGGAACAACGTAAACCACTAGCGGCACACAACGACCAGGGGCGAATGCATTCCCTCTTCCACTTAACGAAGCCGACGAGCCTTTCAAGTGGCCACTATCACGCTTCAAATGCTTTGATGGTGCTGGAACGAGGTTCAGCACTTGCATCTTCTCCGCCGCCAAGGCGCGAATGTCTCTTAAAACTTCAATGGTCATCCTCGCATCTTCTTTAAGCACAAACAGTATGTTACAACTGGTGTACAAAAGTACTTGCATCTTGATCTTCTCGTGCTGAAAAGTATCAACCTCATGGCGAATCCGTTGTGTCTCACTCAGCGTTTCGTCTTCTGCTTCTTCAGTATTTTCGTCACTAATTATTTGTCGTTCATCCAGCAGTACATTTTTGTTGGTACTCTTTAATGATGTATCTTTACTGGTTATATGTGAGCAGAAGCAATAACTCTCGGGTCGAACCACACCTAGTAGGTATATACACCTTGCCACATCGTCATAGTAGAAATGGACGCTAGCAGGTAATCTGACGTCCTTTTCAATAGTAGTGCTTTGCATTGAATCATCTTGAAAGACGCATCGACCAATGAGGCGGTTTGCAAAGGCGAAAGCACATGAAGGAGATGAGAAACTCGTACTAAGGAGTCCCACGATGGCTACTTTCTTGTTCTGTAGCAATTGCAGCGCAGCAAGATATCCACGACCAGGCTCTGGAGGATACAAACGTACTGGCTCACTTTGACTATAATCAACGAGACTTGCCGGCTCATAGCGTGACGAAGTAACAAAAGACATTGACTGCCGTCCATTATTTCGACCTCTAGTCATTATACTCAGTTAATTGAAAATTTCTTACAGTTTACAGTTGTTTTTATTAAAATACATGGATACACTATTGTGTTAATTTTGGCGCATAGAAGAAACAAACATTTACACGTACCAAAGAAAAGCAATTGTATCGATAAGTCGATTGTCTCACCGTACTGACTGTCGTCCAAAAGGACACACAAGTCTTAACACCGCATATCAAAGTCTTATACAAAGGAAAATTATGGCTAGCATTGCGCGTAGCAATTACTGAAATCGTGAGCCCAAAGCCCACGGAACTCATTCCAGCGGTGAGTAATCGAACTTGAGACGCAAGGTTGACCAAATATTGCGGTTGCTGACATGTGTGAGGAAATGAAAGTCTATAGGTTGTGAAGAAATTGAGGTGGCAGCTCTTTGCGGTATACTTGCTCGTGGTGGAGTGCGCGTGACAGTCGCAAATGTTGGAGGAGAGCTTCACCATGTTGTAAAGCTGGCCCAGGGCACTGGTGTGCAAGCGGATAAGCCGATCGAGTTTTGCGTTAACGATGCGTACGATGTCATTGCTGTGCCTGGTGGACGGTGCAAAGTTTGGGTTCTTGTCAGATGCTGACGACACTGTTGAAGGACCAAAAAGCAGAGAGAAGCTAAATGCTGCGTTGGCAAGCCGTTTTGGACGTGCTTTTCCACCAATAACGTGTGCATCTTGTCAAAGCGTAGTGTTCTGTACTAAAAACCGTAGTTTCTGACACATTGAACGACTATTCACCGCGCAAATGAACAGCAACAGGGAAGAAGTCGTTTACGATGCTTATGACGATTAGAAACGTCGTGAAGGGGAGAACATAGCCGCTATTTGTCGAAATGGAATATTCTATGCGGCTGAGGGGGTGTCGTTGCGACTGAGCACGTCAAAACAAAACATTATAATGACATGATAACAAGTGCACTATGGTGTTGTTGAAGTTCATATTGGCTGTTCCCACAGCTTAGTTTTGCTTAACGGTCTTGAAGCTGGTAGCTTTCACTTGCTCATTAAAAAATTATCCTTAAGTGCAAACATGATGGCTGGCGGAACATCAGCGTACACTGCACTGGAAGATGAAGACCTTCCAGTTCAGGCAATACCTTACGTGAAGCCTCAAGCTTTAATCGTAGTGACAGACGGCAGCGACGAACTCGAGACATTAACACTATCCGATGTTTTCGTCCGCGGAGGGCTGCATGTAATCATCGGCGCTGTCGGGCGAGTAAAGAATAATATCATAGTGGGCAACTACGGCTTGCACATTCAGGCTGATAAGGCTATCGAAGAATGCAGTTTCGAGAGCTTCGAGCTAATTGTTGTACCTGGGGTATTATCATAACTTGTTTAACTTCCAGCATTGTAAGTGCGCTGATCTCACCTTATTTACTAAACAGGGTGATGGAGCGAGCCACTTGCGTGACTCAGAGCTGTTAATTAAAATGCTACTGTGGCAGAAGCAAGCTGGACGTTGGATTGCGGCAAGTTCGTCGGCACCTGCGGTTGTGTTAAACCCACATGGGTTGCTTAATGACCGTGCGACGTGTTCACGTACCCACGAGCATTTAATGACTCGCATGTTTGTGGACGAAGATGTAGTCGTCGACACTCGGTGCGTGACAAGCCAGGGCGCAGGCACGGTGCTAAAGTTTGCACTTGTGCTAGTGAAGCTGCTAAACGGGGGAGCTGACTGCTCACAGAGCTGCGAGCGAACTCTTGTATTCTTTGATGTAAATTTCGTACAATTGAGTACTGCTCCATACTGCGAGTGCATTTCGAACACACTTTTGCGTAAAATGAACCATGAGATCGTAACACAATTTTGCACCCGAACATCCATTGTTCAATGATCCAGAATTTAAAATTATCTGCAACTTTCTAGTATTCACCTCCCAAACGTCTATTTAGTTGAACATAGCTCGCCAGCGTCACATCACGATCGAAGCATAATATCGCGCAAATACAAGAGAGGCAAACATCAGTGCGTCGATACGATCTAGTACACCTCCGTGACCAGGAATCAGCTTTCCAGAGTCCTTTACACCAGCTGCACGCTTCAGCAGACTCTCGAAGAGATCACCAAGTCGACCTACTATCACGGCTACCATCGCAAATCCAACTTGTGCAGCCGCAGTGCCTGGTACGCTAAGTAGATAGGAGGAGACGAACATCGCAGTAACGCCAAAAAGAATGGCACCAAGTGTCCCTTCGTAGTCCTTGTTTTTGGACAAGTGGGGTGCCAGACGATTGTAGTGGCTATAGTGCATTCGATTCAGCAACTTTCCCGTTAAGTATGCACCTGTGTCAGCAGACCATACAACGTAAAGTAGCACAATTAGTAGCTTGCGGTAAGAATCGATTCGCTCGTCGTCTACAAAGGCAACGATCACAGAAAGAGTGCCGATGATGTACAGAAAGCCGAGCATGTCTAGTGCCATGTACAAGAATGTGGCGGGTCCTGATGAGCGCGTCTGCAAACGTAAGAAAACGATAATCACCACGCCTGAAAGAAATACTTGTGCTGGCTCCAGAGAGAATCCACAATGGTACCGGTTGATGGGGCAAGCAGCCGATTGCATTGTCAACAGGGTAAACACCGCTTTTTCCACAAGGCAGATGAGCGCATACCTCCAATTTGGCGTGAAGAAGGCACAAAGTGCGGCGACAAAGTCCGTGGCAATACTGTAGAACCATCGCAGCTTGTATAACTGCGTCCCCTCCAGCTCAGAAATATGTTCAACATAGCTTAGGAAAATGGTCGTAGTGACGACGGTGGTGAATGCTGACAGCACTATTGCAGCAATCCACTCATTCTGGCGGAAGTGCTTATCAGCTATACTGGACACAACACTTTTTGAAAAGCTCACGCTATGCATAAAGTCATCTCCAGCGTTATGGTCATGACTTAGTCGCTGCTCTTGAGGCACATCTTCTTCTAGTTGAAAGGACGCATCAGACGCTTGAGACAGTGGCAGAGGGGACTGTGGCGACGACTGGACCGTTACGCCGCTTGTAGTGCGCCCTGTATTTGCAGTATCAGCTCCTGTAACATTACCACTTATATCGTTCACTCTGTTGCTTTCGCTTCGTATGCTACGACTGATGATGTCAGAGAGGCGATTTTCTCCGTTGTAGTGGTATTGCGTCGTTCTATTGTTAATTGTGGTGTCCCTTTGTATCAAATATAACTCGCAGGCATTCATCTTGGTCATAAAACGCAGATGAATGCGATGTTGAAGCCACGCGTACTCGTAGGAACAGATACTTGTCACGAATGTGCAGAACGTAGCAGTAGCAAATGCCGGCGAGAGCCACAGAAATACTGTGATAAGCGGTACCAGTACCAGTGCCGACAAGAGACGCTGGACCACATTCATTTGTAGCCATCGCTTTATCGTTTGAATACTATTAAAGTTACTAGAAGATGCCGAACAAGCGTTGCTTGGCGTTGGGGACGCCAGTACAATAATATTAATCGTCGTCGTATGGTAAAAGAAGGCAGAAGGAGAAGTCGGTGAACCCGAAGTCATGGTCATGACAAGCAATCACGCGAAATTACGGAGTTGAACGAGCTTATGGTTTAAGAGACTTGGGCTATGACGCCAATAACAGCGAGGAAAGAAAGGCCGCTACTGTATGGATGATTACGCAATGACAATAATCTAAACAGCTGCTAGCTCTTTCTTCTAGTAATTGCTTTTGACATTTTTAAAAAGGTTTATTAACAAAGAAATTAATCAGAAATTGCGCGTAAAAATTAAACCAAAAAATGGAAAACTGTCTCGCCCACATGGTTGCAAAGGTTGTCGCGCACACAAAAGACTTGTGTCATCAAAAATATTTGTCATTTAATGCACCTACGACATGCATTTTAACATCCGGTTATGTAAGATTGCGTGGTGCAAGGTGCTTATAAGCAGAGGCTGCTGGCATCTACCAAGACTAAAGCGTTTATCGACTACTTGTGAATGAATTGCAAGGTCACAGGCCCAACCTAAAAAAGCACACGAGGGCATCCGACGCAAAGGATAATAATATTGTGTCAGCAGTTTTTTGTCAATACTAGACGACGGTCATAGGCTCCGGTGTGCGGTGAATGAGAGCCTGTTTCTGCAATGAACTCATTTGAGCCGTAGTCACGCAACAGCACATTTATCTATCATTACTTACCAAAAGAAAAATGGCAGGACGACCCAGCAACTTGTTTACTAATGTAGGCATTCAACCATCTGCAATCTGCTCCAGGCATATCGTTACGATTTAATGATTTTTTTGGACGGTAGGCATGGCGCCCAAAGGGTCACGGCGCGGGACGCGCTTGTTGCAAATGAACTAGGTTTCAGAGCATCAAGCAACACGCCTGATGTTGGCAACAAAGATCTGGGAGCGATGATGAATATGTGATACTGACATTATAATTTAGTAAGTTCAAACAGTCAGGCTTTTTGAAGTACAGTTTGTCGTCGAGTGCAAGTTATCAAAGTACACAAGTTTCTCTGCAACAAATGCTTGATTATTCAGTAAACTCAGTAAAAAATGATCATCAACAGTTTAATGCGTGTAAGAAGAATATTCCTGTACGCCACACCGACAGCAGCTGTGCAGCGCGCCCCAAAACCGCCACGATCCTTGTATACTGCAGCAGCAGCCGTTCCGTTTGTCAGTACATGAGAAGAAGAAAACTCCTACCGAGTATGTCATTGGAATGATGCGCTAGCGTGGCATCCTATAGAAGAGAAGGTGATCTAGTTGCTGACAATTGGTAAAACAATGTAGCCATATTTGCATAGAAGATCGTTGCCAAGAATGTGCAGACAAACGATACTTTGTCGTCAGATTACGTAACCAATCGGTTACGTGAGATGTATTCACTTTGAAAAAGATGCCGTCTTGTTGCAGCAATTTCAGCTCGTACTACCTGTAGTACCCTATTGCTGACACGATGTGTCTTGTGTCCTGCACCGCTTTTATCGTTTGTCTCGACACTGACGTTTCGCCGGTAAAACTCGAACTAGCTGGCCATTTGTTGCCACGAGCCTTTTAAATCATTAAACAAACGCCAAAGTTTATGCTTGCAGAAAAGCACCCCTACAAATAATGCAGTAACTCCGCAAAATACGCTACAAAAGATTAAAAAAAGTCTTTAAAACTTTTGCCGAAACTAAACTATTCAACACAACGTATTTAGTAAACAATATACACCTGCGTCTTCCATTTGTACGTAGCTGCACCTGGTTTTTATGACAGCAGTTTAATTTGGCACATCATCATGCCGCGCATTTTAACGTGACTGATCTGGTGGTCCAGCTAGTTTTTTAACTACGCATTATCTAACCGCCTAAGAAAGTGAAATGAGCCAACAGATATATTCGACCATAGCCTACAGCGCGCACTCGAAGTTGCTTACACGCTTCAATGTCGATTTTTCAATAATAATCTGTCACTTAAGATGCAGTTTTCAGTTTTATGTTAAGCCATCATTATGACCGATTTTTAGCTTCAATTTCCATTTTTCTAAACTTACCTGAAACTCCCTACCCAAAATAGTGGTATACCCAATGAAAGGGGTAGGGGGAGAAAGTGTGGACCAACAATCTGGCGTCATTAAAACCTGTCATTACTAATCATGTTGATGAATGTATCGGAAAGATAGCATACCCTTCGACTCACATACTCTTCACAGCAACCTTTGTGATTTTAAAAATACCCGATCGGCGTCAGATGCACCACGTCGTCTGCACATAACTTAAACGCGCTACTTCATTTCTGTACTTGCAAGGAAGTTCCAATACTGTCGTTTTTCTCATCTAACAACCAATCTTTGAAGCCGATGAGCACACGCGTGTTTGTGCGGCTATATGATGGCACAACGCAGTACGAAACTGACGACGAGGTTTTGGAGCTGCCGTTACCACCTCTCAAGTGGAAGGACGCAATAACGGCTATGGTGGCTGCTGTGGGTAAGCAGGATGAGTATGAAGATGGCGTGACGATACCCAAAGCACGTCTCTTTCTACTACCCACAGAGGCTGCAGGAATTGCTGCTGAGGTACGTCTTGTTTAACAACTATTTGCAACCTGTCTCATTGATTGTATGTTGTGGCGCTCTAACGGTTGAGCTTACGTACAGCTAAACGCTCGTTCATTGCGCTTTGGGGTCCGAGAAAATGACCGCTTCGTGGTTTGTCTTCAAGGCGAGGACTACCAGCAATCCAGTGAGAGACAATTGTCTGCGGAAGCTAAAGTTGCTGCTGCTTTTGGTGGATCATCGGCAAGATTGATGACGTTGTCCACGCCGAGCTCTAGTTGTGGAACAACACAGCCTAATATTTCTCCCTACGCTAATGGCCAGAACACAGGTGACACAAATAATGTTGCACCGACTGGCAAAATGGGGATCCCTCCTAGAGGTGGTCTTAAAGGCGGTACCCTGTCTGGAAGCTTGACGACTAGTAGCAAGAAGGGAAGTAAACGCTACCGAAGCATTTCCGGTAAGATGGCTGCAATTAAATCGCTGAGCGATATGGGAGTTATTTCGAATAGCGACCGTGGTCACTTGAAGGATTTGCTGTTGAATAGTGATTCGCCACGGCTACAGGAGGCATTGGATGAGTATAACAACACTGGTAACTTCCAGGCTGTAAAGGATCTGTTGCTGAACGATATTCAAAACCCGCCATTGAAGCGTAATACTACTGACTGGCTGTCGGAGAGCTTTGTTAACGATATCGCACTGAATATTAGTACTCCATCTCATGTTGCTAAGATGGAGCCTGTAGTAGCGCGACAGACTAACAATATTGGTCGGTTCAATCCAGTACTTCCTACTACAATGACCTTGCCAGCAAATACGTACAAGTATCCGACGACCAGTCAGGCTACGCCAATGAGTTTGGCAGGCTATTTGGAGGCTTCTTCCGTTGCGATAAATCACTCTTCGACTTTTGAGAGTCTAGTTACCCCTGCAGACGGCAACTTATCTACTAGCAACGGATACACTGCTGGGATAATTGTGTCAAACGACAACCAGCCTATGACTGTTATACCCGAAATGTACTGCCAACCACAAGCATCATCGACCAACAACATGTACAGATCTGCGCCTAATATTAATCTACCTCTTCGGGATCGCGCTACGTACATGAAGCGGGGATATGAATCATCGCCGGCCAACAACTTGAATATGCTAAGCACGTCTCCGGCAGTTTCTCTTGCCATGTCACCGCAAATGGGCATGAATGGGTACATGATGCAACAAGGATACTTATCTAACCAAGGTTCATACCCAGCAAACATCATTTATGCTGGAGACCAGTATTCCATGAACCCGTACGTGGCAGGTGCCAACGGCTTGTACAACCAGTACCAGCAGCAGCCTCAGTATGCAATTAACCGTTACGGTTACGGCAGCATGCAGCCTGATGTGGGCTACAATCTCTACGCTTCAGACTACGGCAGTGGAAAGGTTTCATTCCACGCTAGTCCTGGAGGCAAGTGGACAGCTGCTCCGCCGATGCCGTCGTACCCTCCGCCGTGCTCAAAGGAGGAGAAGAAGGATAAGATTGCTAAGTGGCTGAAAAAGCGTGAGAATCGGAATTGGTCCAACAAGCCGTCGTACCCCGTGCGGCACAGCATTGCAAAAAACCGTAAGCGTGGCGAAGATGGTCGATTTATTACGAAGGCGCGACTCGCTGAAATGGCAGCGCAGGAGGCATTGGCTGCCGCAGTAGTTAAGAATAACAATGAGTCCCCGAAAGTTTCCTTACCGTCGCCCACGTCTGAAGAAGCTTCCATTTTGATTGTGTCGCAAACTGGAATACCGCAAGCGACTTTCGGGCCATAATATTTTTGATGCGATGGATTTATATGTATAATCGTTGAGATGTATATACCAACTAAATCTGACATTCGTAGTGTTTACTTGAGTAAAGTGTCCAAGTCCTTGCAGCAGAAATATGAACGAATAAAATATGGACACAAAACGTTTTTTGCAATAAAACAGTAAGAGTAAATATATTTAGACACCAGTTAACAACACCAACGTTACAGACTTGACCAAGCCAACGTTCCCTCACAGTGGTAGAACTGCAAGGCTTACTCCAACCGGGATGACAGGATCTGTCGATGTCTTGTTTATTTTTGTCCCGCATAGTTCAATCAGCCTCTTCAAATAGTGAAACTCATCCTTGGAACTGCACACCAGTTGACTGTCTTCCCAGCTATACCGATTCCAATTGAGGATGGAAACGGCCCAGTGACTCGTGACTTCACCGGTTGACCCTGCAAAAGTCACGGACACCGATTTATCTGCAACTACGCACTGCCGAGTACCACGCCGACGAACGGATGGAGTTCGAGGCTGTGCGTCGACGCGAAATCGGTTGGGCATCTGACCGACTTTAGAAGGAGGAAGTAAGAACACGTCCACCTTGGACCCTGATAAAGCAAAAGTTCCCAACTGCTCGCCGCCCTTTCGAGAAAAATACTGCAGCATGCCTTCGTCAAGAATGCAATATACAGTACAAACTTCATCGCCATCAATTTTGAGTAGGTAACCTTCAACGTTGCCTCCGAAGCTCATATTGTGTTTAAGAGGAAGGACGTGACTGGGCAAATAGGAAAGTGGAAAAGCTTGTGTAATGTAAAGTCAGGCAAGAGGACCATCGACCAGGCAAGATATAGAGAGATATTATTTTGACAAATAGGAGCAGGACCATGTGGCTCGAGGACGACCGACAGCAGTCCTCGGTTGGGAAAGTCAAACCTGGAGCATACCTTGTTAAAAGTAAATTTTAAAAGAATATACTGACTGTAAGGAGACAGCTGTATTAAAATCGAGGTGGTCAACCATTTTGCACGTATGACTAGCGCCTCGAGCATAACGCGTTGATGTCGCCTAAGTGACAAGGTTGGTGGCATCTTAAATGTCTCGCACATGGTTACAGTATCCCACAGTAGCAGCTGCATTTGCCTATATTAAATCAATATACTTCTCCTATATCTTACGAGCGCACGCATACAAATGCGCTCATTCACCGAGAGCCATTATATCCACATTATGCAAAACATTCAACTGACACGATTTGTACAGGCCCAGCTGTTGGGCCCTCAACAAACTTATGTCGAACCTTCTTGAAAATGAACACCTGGTCTCTTTAAAACTGAGACTGTCTTGGAAACAAAAACAAGATGGCTACATTACTTATTTATAAGATATGTAGCAAAAAATTCAAGGATAAAATTGATAATAAGAAATAAATGCAAGGAGTTCAAATGGCAAATGCCCCGCGTGTGCGTCGCGTGCAGGCTGTCGATCAAGGTCCTCTAGAATGGTTAGTGCCCTTTATACCACCGTTTCTTCGTGTGAATTGCGATACACGCGCTGAGATTTGTCGCAAGGCGGCAAATCTACTGTCGAAAGAAGCAATAGAGAGCATTGTGCTTGCTCTGAGACCTTATTGGCGCTCGCTTGTATGTTACTTATTGTTGACACTCGTTTGGACTGGTCTACTTGTTTACATTCACCATAATGAACCTGAGTTTGCGGTGGCATACGTTATTCTCTCCGGCTTCTCTGCGCTACGTTATCACCTGCTGAATGGAGTGGAAGGACGCGTGATTGACGACATGAGCGCGTACTCCGTTTTCAATCGTGGGGCCGAAAGGATGTTGGGCTCGTTGTCAGCAGAGCAGTTTGAGGTACGAGATGGACTTGGCCACATTGTACAAGATTTGGTGGAAAGTTTAGATTTTGTTGTTTTTGTGTAGAATGAGATTCGTCATCGACACGTAGGACACGAAGATGCATCACGACAAGTCTGGCTGGTAGCTCAAGATCTTATTGATCGTGATGAAGATTATGATGAAGATGACCCGTGCGTTGATTTTATTTTTTGATGCTCATCATCTACTTGTGGGCAAAAGAGAGAACTGACTGCATGAAATATCTTTTCTTTTGCTGGATATGATGCAGTGACTTGATAGTGGCACTGAAAGTTTCATTGCAAGAGAAGAAGCGCGAAGCTCGCCGATCTCGCCGCACAACCTGTAGGAAATGATGGCGTGACTATTATTAAGTGGTCCTCATAATAACACAACGAAGCTTCTTTTTTTTATTCTTCCTTCGCTTTTTAGAAACCCAAAGGGCACTTACTAACGCGCTTCCTACGTTTTCCGTCTTCATCCAATTCTACCATCTCTGCAACCTTCTCGTTTGCAATAGGAGGGTGACCTGGAGGAAGTACAATCTCGCCGGGCGCAGCATTTGCCTTTCGGTTTGAATATCTTAGCATGCTATTTAGCGCACCAACTATACAATAAGCGTAAATTATCAGTCTACCTCAAAAAAAATCTACATAGCAAATAAATTAGCTTAATGCCTGCCAAAATGCACCTGCGAATAGGACAGAGCCCGTGACAATTAAAGGCGAAAATAGTCGCAGCTCAGTCACTGATGGCAAATCGTCGTTAAGCGCTACCATCACCACAGAAACCACTCCCGAAAACGCCATAATACCGATACCGGATGACGCCATCAACTAGATTCGAACGAAAGCAAAAAAGGCTAAGTTCATGTATATAGAACTAGTGAGAGAAGAGGAGCAACGTACCAAGGACGCGTCTCCAGCAATGATGGACCCAAGGGACAGGCTTGTCGATGATGACTTAGCCATAGCTTCTGCTGATCTTTTTACAGCTGACGGCTGCGGCACTGCTCGTTGCTTTATACTTCCATTTAAATGAATGCTCATGTTTTCTACTTGTGCTTTCGTTTTCAATTTTTTTGTAATAAAGTCAGACAACATACTCAATAAAACCTACTCAAAGGAATAAAAGGGCTCGGCCTAAGCTACAGCCTTAGTTGCCTGAGCAGTCTTGCAACGTCCTTCGCTACCTCCTCATCCGCCTTCGTCTCCATTGGCACTGCCTGAGCTTTTAATGCCCACATCTCAGCATCCTTCATACGCTTCATCTTCATATAGGTCTATAATTGAAAACATAGTCAAGCTTTAGAACACTGTCTACTTTTAATGTTTCTAAAATGAGTACCTGCGCTAAAAGAAACATGTTTTTCTTCCAGAACCCCGGGCTGACATTTTCTTAATAAGACAACCACAATATTTGTGTAAGCACCAAGTAAGCCATGACAAGACTTTTGGCAGATTTACCTGCCGCCTGAAAATGTTGCACGGCTTCCTCATACGTTGAAGTAGGAGGTGTGCCAAAAAGTGCAGCAGCGGCACGCTTTTCGAGCCAAGTCATATCAGCAAAAGCCAAGCACCATTGTCCGAGGATATTGTGAGACGTTGCATCAGTTGGATCCAGCTCAATTGCTCGTTGGATATGCTCCTACAGTGAAGAAAATTTCAGTAAATCTTCTCATTGACTCACATCAGTAGCTAAAATGTTTACCCGAATGCCGTGGGCTCCTGCAATCTTTTCCTTAAGGTTAAGAAAAGCTCCCACAGTGCTGCTTGCAGACGTTCAATTAGTGATACTGTTTCATATGACGGTGTAAGTGGTGGCTACATACCTGGTCATAATGGCCATCCATTTATTAGACGCTGCCGAATTGCTGTCGAGCGCATACGCTTTCTTAGCACAGGCTAGGCCTTCAAATGCTAATGCCCTTTTCTTCTCAACATCGCTGTTTTCATCAAAGAGATAGTTGCATACACGAGCCAAGCGCCACCACTAGCACATACCCAGTCAGATACTTCCATCGATGATGCCAATAATGTAAAGTCGAACCATTTCAGCGCGTGAAGGGTATTTTGACACTTCTGCTTTTATATAGTCTCGCGTCTGGGCGTACTGCTTCTGATCAAAAAGATCATCTGCGCGCTTGATTATTGTTCCAACGTCTTCAAGAAAACTGTCCTTCTCTTCTTCGTCATTGTGTGCATAATGACCGAAATACGGCGCTTTATCTTCTGCACTATCAGGACCCTCCGACGCAATATTGCCTGCTTTATCAAAAGTATATTAGTTCTATTTAAAAGACGTCATCTAACAGCGTGCATTTCAAACGGCTCACGATGCTGCTGCGGAATAAGCTTCATGTCGCTTGCATCGTGCAAAAATATTGCCTTATCCTCAAAAACTGAAATGTCCGAGATAGTTCTCGAGCGAATGAAAAGCTCTGTGCTAGCAGCTTCAGTGGTCAACAAAGTAACGAGTCATTAATTCGCAAACCCTTTCGGTTCAAACTTCGCAACGTGTGGCACCACCTGTTAAAATACCAACGGCAATCCACATAAGTGGCTGACACATGGGCAAATCGAAAAAATACAATCCTGAGTCTTCGTTGCTCCACGATATGATTAGTGATACGATAGCCACCAACACCATCATCATGAGTGCAAGCGTGGCCAGCAACTACAGGATACTTAGATGGTCAGCCACAAGTCACAGCGGATATAATCATGCACTTATCAACGCACCAAATTTATTCCTTGGTTTACTACAAACAACTGCTGCTCTGCATCTGCCTCATCCGTCTCATTTGCGGACAGCTCCTCGTAGTCTTCGTCCTCGCCTTCTTGAGTCTCTACAGCCGCATATGCCTCAGGCTCCTGTATTCCGCGCGTTAGTCGTGTCGCATACTTGTAAACTACAACGGCAGCGGCCGCCGCTCCCGCTACAGCCACAAGGGACAAAATCCAGCCGCGGAAGTTTGGCATTATCCTAAAGACCACTTGAATCTATTTCACGTTTACTTTTTCTCATACAAACTATTGTGTAAAAGTTTGGCATTATCCTAAAGACCACTTTAATTTAATTCACGTCGTTTTACTTTTTCTCATACAAATTATTGTGTAATATTTTATTCATTTTGCAGGATGACCTAACCTACTTTGGGCTACGAGATTAGTTACAATTTTATGACTTCCATTACCTTGTGATATGCGTATACAAACGTTCGTAACAATGTGAGCAAGGACATTGCAGCTTAATCTCTTAATGAACAATATTATAAGATACGGGTCAAATTGCTGAAATCTCTAAATTTGATGAATTAACAATGTTTCATTCCTGATAAAATTATTACTGTATCGTTATCTGAAATAAGTATCATAATTGTTCAAAGTATGTGGACTTCAATGCAGCATTCATGTCTTGTCGCAGAAAACAAGCCCTGCAGCTTTGTATTATAGTAGAGCTTGGTAAGTGGAAGGTACAAAAGAAATTGAATGTATTGCAACTAATGAACTGTCCTAGTTAGCCCTTGTGTCCAATACCTTAGACCCCTTCTTGATGGACTAGAGTCACTCCTTAGTCTTCCAAATTCACTTTGCCTTCTCCAAAAGTTGCTTAGACTTTTACACGTTCGCTACGCATTCTCCGAGGATCACAACCTTCCAACATCAACTACACCTTTAACACTCCTTCCGAGGTGTATTTGCACTAGCAAGATCAGCTTTTATAGCTGTATCAATCGCGGGGTTGCTATCGTCTTGATGAGAACATAGCTTGCATAACACGTGACTCACAACATATCATCTCAATCAATTTCTTGTTGCTAAAAAATCTGATAAATTGAAGCGTACAGAAATTTGCTTCGCTCGTCCTGCGCTGTAATCCACCTTGTAATTGCTTGATTGCAGCTTTGCTGTCGACGTGCATCAACATCGACTTCTTACGATACTCCAATTTCACCAAACAGTTCATTGAGCCCTAGCAGATCACTCGCCACTGTGGTGGAGTGGGTTTTTATAACTGCGTAATGAGACCCCAAGCCTTTCACTGTACCAGACTGCCGACTGTCGGAGGAGGTACCCCGATGCCGCGTATGGACCTTCTCTCACCTTGTGTACCCGTTGGCTGACGGGATGCACTCTTCGGAGGACTGGTGGAGATGCGATGTCGGCCTTGATTGAAGTCGACCTTGGGGTGCCTCGAGTAGGTATACTTTATTCGGTAGGCGGGCAGGTGGCCACTAGGTCGACTAGGTCGAGGGTAGACTTATAACCAAATTATTCGGGGGGGGATTCTCAGCCATGGCCTTTTCCTTGATATCTCAGGGGTGTTAACGCCTGGTCTTTACTTGCTCCCGAGCCGCTAGGGTAAGAGATGCTTTCGTCAGCGGGTCGATTGGAGGGGTGCTACACCGGCGAACTAACAGACCAAATATATCCTGGGACTTCATTCGCACTTAAGGCTTACCACACAACTGTCTTCGACGGGGGGTGGAAGGGCAAATTATATTTCTTCCCGGAACAGGTCTACCCGCCTGTTCCGGGAAGAAATATAATTTGCCCTAGTTCTTCGTGAGCACGATGGAGGCGTGCTACGTAGATCGCAAATTGAGTAGTAATTAATATAGTCCTATCTTTTAACTTCTTCACTCTATCTTTATCCTGAAACCTGATTCTTGATTCTGCTCCGCTAGAGTATCTGAACCTCTTGATCGAGGCCGACTTCAAAGACCAGGACCAAAAGTACATCGACTGAAGGACTAAGGTCTATTGACTACTAATTGAGGTACATGGACGGAATACCAAGGCCGACCCCCAGGGACTAGGTTGAAAGTCTATCGACTTAAGAATAAAGGTCTATTGACCGAGGGATCGAGGCTTGTTGACGAAAAAAATCAAAGCCTACTGACGAGGGACCAAGACCTGTTGACGAGGGACCGAGGCCTATTGAAGAGGGCCCAAGTTTGACCACCAGGCAGTGGGGTCGAGGGTCCATCGATCAATGATCGAGATTTACCTCGATGAAGGACCAAGGTCTTCCAACAATTCACCATGGTAAACCTTGTAAGATTGAGGTCTACCAAGGATAGACCAGAGTCGATGTTGATAGACTGTGATACAACTTGAAGGACCAGGGTCCAACGTTTATAGCCGCCATCACCTATGAACCGTACCGTATGGGCTTTGCCACGGCAAGTTGGGGTGAATGAGCCAAGCAACGGGCATTCACATGCGGTGCATCACTGCAAGATGCATTTCCAACATGGGGCGATCTGAAGCTCAGACGACCCGGCAGTATGCACCGCTAAACCAGGCACACCGTAATTGGTTGCGATATTTGGCGTGATGCCAAGGCAAGCGTGAGCTTGCGGCATATTTGCAAGCGTTGAGAACTCTCATTGCTGTCATGGTCATAGACCCTATGCCTGAGGCAGTGACCGTCACGGTCTTCATGGAGGGCCTCCGAGTTGGCTTTGTCAAAACGGAAGTCTTCTTGGTAAATCCGTCCTCATTCGAGGAAGCTGTTGGAGTGGCATGGAATGCCGAGACCAACTTTAAGGCCGCTAGGCCTGCCACTTATAACTACTCGTCTAATGGATCTGTTCCCATGGACTGTAGTCAAGTGGAGGATGAAGAAGCTGAGCTTCAAGCTGCGGAGCAGTAAATTGCGCGCAGATGTTGTATCCAGGCCATTTGATAGCCAAATGACCTGCACGAAAGGCATATTTGGTCTCGAAGGGCCGACGCCCTATGGGGGAATCCACTGGTATACCGCGGGATAATGGCGGGAGTTCGTAGGCGCGAGGTGGCGTGCTGAGCAACAACTGTGCTCTGTTAAGCCTCTAGGGCGTAGAAGGGACCAGTCCCAAAGATTTTCTAACTCTCAAAAACGGAACGAGATTGCAAGCCACGCTTGCTTGTCGTCGAAGGGACGGTTAAGAGCTTTGATAAGCCACGGGTAATTGTGATCGATTTGAGGCATCAGGCAATTATGTGCGCCGTGACGCCGTGGAAGGTAGTCAGCAGTATGCTGAAGCGCTTTGGACGCGTGAGATTGGCACAATCACAGCTCGCTCAGCGACGGATAAGCGTGTGACGGTACCTAAAGTCCCGATGAACTTCAATGTAAAGTTCTTGGACTTTAACATCATGGAACGCTGTTTCGTCTCATATTTGGACGCGTGGTGTGACCTCATCTTAGGCATGGCATGGCTAGAACGTTATGACATGGAGCCATGGATTGATTGGAGGTCGGAGGCCTTAGGCGCAACGCGCAATGCTCCTAGTATGGCTCTGGAGAGTCATGAACCCACCTTTGCTAGGAAGCAAAAGCGCTTTTGGCGCGGACATTGGACCCGAGTCGGTAAATTGGTTGGATGTCAGGTTATCCGACTTTGTAGACACTGTACGTGTCGAGGACAATTGTCCTAGGCGAGGGCCCAATGACTGTCGATAGTGTGGTTGAGAACCCACTAGATGACACATATGACATGTGTCATGAGAATGATGTTACATTATTAAACACCGTGAGTGGTGTTGGTGGCTGCAAGCCAAGATGTCAGATCATGGGTCCAAGTGACATGAGTGACGAGAAACGGATCATGGAAAGCCGGGTGATGTCACAAATGGATGTTGCCTTTAAGGACAACGAGGTGTATGCGCCTAACGACGGGGTATTGACCCTAGTGAGTCGTGTAATCATCAATGGATGTTATGTTTGAAAATAACGAGGTGCAAGCACCTAGTGACGAGGTACCGGCCCAAGAGGGTCGGGAGAAGTCAAAAATGACAGTTGGCTTTGCGGATAACGAGGTGCAAGCACCTAGTGACGGGGTACCGGCCCAAGAGGGTCGGGTGAAGTCAAAAATGACGGTTTGCTTTGCGGAAAACGAGGTGCGAACACCTCATGACGAGGCATTGACCCAAGAGGGTGGGATGCAGTCAGTAAACAAAGTGGTCTTTGACCTTGAGGTGTGTAGACCTGTGGACGCTGAGGCGTCGGATGCTGAGAGCATCATGAGTAGCGATGATAATATCGTGAGTGGCGGTGATAGCGAACAGCTATATACACTCGTCAATGGTTTGACTGGGGAAGAGCCGGTTGCTCTTTCAGCTATACCCGCAGTAAGTGCTCTGTTAGAGCTGGACGAGTTGTCCTTTGCCAAGTTTGACATTGCCTTACAGGCAGGCGACATCGCCGAAGTGGTTGTTATACGACCTGAGGAGGATTTGGACTCCTCATCGCTTTTGGATAAAACAGTTCTTGAAGGCTTCAAGAAGGCGCTGAATGCGCGCAGTGGATTGCAGATCCTGAAGAACCCTTCGAATCCTTATTATTCTTTGTTGAAGGAAGATGGAGGTGTTGTCTCCAGAGAATCTCCTACGAGGGTACCTCCGGATAGAGTGTACGTCATGAAATTGACTTGGTTCCAGTAAAGAAATACTGTGTGACGCGACAGTGGCCATTGCCACGAGAACAATGTGACGTCATTGACGAGTTCTTTCGTGCGAAGCAAACGGCTGGCATGGTGCATGAGAGTAAGGTGCCTCACTCAACGCCTAAATATCATGTAAGGAAGCCTAATGGGAAGTGGCGAATGGTGCATGCTTACAATAAGGTGAATGCAGCCACTCTCCCGGCTCAAACACCGATTCTTTGCAAGGATGTCCTTTAGAACAATATGGTGGGATGTACGATGTACAGTGCCCTCGACTTAGTCGATAAATATTACCAACTGCTCATGCAAGCTAGTGATATCCCGCTGACAGCGGTCAGCACTCCAAGCGGTATGCTCTGGGAGTGGTTAGTGATGCCCCAAAGGGCTCGTCCAACGCACCTGCAACGTTTAATCGTCTGGTGACGCAGTTGTTTCGGCTCCATAGGCGTATGCACACACATACTTTGACGATATATTCGTACATAGTCGAGCCAAAAATGGCAAGACTGATGTGGAGAACCACATCAAGCACCTGCAAGCTGTGCTCGGTTGCATGAGGATGCATAAGTTATATGCCAATATTGACAAATGCATCTTCGGTGCGGAAGAGATTCCCTTTTTGGGATGGTTGAATGAGAAGCGAGGAATCCGGGCAGACCCTGTTAAGGTCAAAGCCATAGTGGATTGGCCGGTTCCGAGGGACCAGAAGGACCTCCGCAAGTGGTTGGGCTTTGGCAAATTACTTGCACAAGTATAGCCACAACTATGCGGAAGTGGCTAGGCCATTATCAAATCTCCTGAAAAATGAGGTGGAATGGTGTTGGAACACCGAGCACCACGAGGCTTTTGAAGCTATTAAGGAGAGTTTCCTTCAGGCGCCAATTCGGGCTCTACCTGATCCTGATCTCCCGTTTAGCGTCGTATGTGACGCTTCGGAATTTGCCATTGGTAGTGCACTTTTGCAAGTCGACTATGGTAGAGAACTCGTCATCGCGTTTCAGTCTCGCCAGCTGAAAGCTGCAAAGAAGAACTATCCAGCTCATGACAAGGAGCTACTTGCGATGAAGTATGCCCTTGTTAAGTTCAGGGTACACCTGTTGGGCTCAAAAGCCGTTTGCGATCTATACAGATCATGCATCATTACGCACAGCGACGCAGTCGCCTCATCTTTCGCAGAGAATGGCTCTTTGGCTCTCCCTTTTCGCGGAGTATAACTTCGAGGTGAAGTATAAGCCGGGAAAACAGAATGTTCTGGCTGACTCGTTATCGTGTAGACCTGAATATGAGCTTGCGCATCTCACTATTGTGAGTCGTCAGCAACGGATCGTATCTGTGGGTCGTATGCACGTGATGAGGCATGTGTTACCATTATGCAGGCGCTGGGTAGAGCAGAGATTGATCACTCTAAGGTAAAGCTGTCACCACGTAATCGTGCGAGATTACATCATTATGCAATGACCAATGGTCGGTTGGACTATAGTACAGAGTTGGATGACCAGTCTCGTGTTGTGGTGCCTCATGATGAGGACCTCAA